CACCGGCAGAGGAGACTCAAGGGAAGCTCCAGGCTCCTGGCTTTGGATCAGCTGGGGAGTGAACCGGCAGATGGAAGATCTCTTTGTCTCTTCCCTCTGTAAATCTGCCTTTTCATAAAAATAAATAAGAAGCCAGGACCTTCTTTCAGGTCCCAAGCGTCTGGACCGTCCTCGACTGCTTTCCCAGGCCACAAGCAGGGAGCTGAATGGGAAGTAGAGCAGCCAGAACATAAACTGGTGCCAATATAGGACCCCGGTGCATGCAAGGTGAGGACTTTAGCCACTAGGTTACAGCGCCGGGCCCAAAATAAAGAAATCTTAAAAAGCAAAAAAAAAAAAACCCAAAAAAAAAACCCAAAATTGAGTGGCAAATCTGGGTCTGAGTCCTGGATCCCTACGTCCGTTTCCTGCTAAGGCATACTTTTCAAGGCAGCATGTGGAGGTTCAGTATTTGGGTTGCTGCCATCCATGTGGGAGATCCAGAATGAGCTCCCAGCCCCTGGCTCCAGCTCAGCTTAGCCCTGGCTCTTCAGGCATGTGGGGAATGAATACACAGAGAGGAACTTGCTTCTCCCTCTTCCTCTCCCTCCAACTTTTATAAATTCTAAATATGACCACTGCTTTTTTGGTTTGTTTGTTTTTTGTTTTGTTTTTATTATTTTTGTAAGTTGGACCATTGTTAACCTGCAGATGATTCATACTCCATAGATGGTAGCTGCTGCTGGGGTCCGTGCAGTAGATGTGGGGGACATGAGAGGGTGAAGAGTGTTCCATTGCAGGCAGGGCCCACCCGGCGGATGTCTCTACAACCACCTGAATGCAACTCCACCTTCTTTTGCATGGACACTGGACCACCCTGTGGAAGAATTCTAATCCATCCTGGCATTTGCTACTGCGAGGTTAACCTTTTGCTCAGCCTGAGCTTGGAGGTCAGTGTCTTGCAAATGGGGCCCTTTATCATTCCTATTGTCTTGGCTGTCCCCATTGAACCTATGCTAATCAAGGGATCTAGATTTAGGCCTTCATTCTTTAGACTCCCCTTTTCTTTGTGGTACAAGATTGAGTTGTAGGATAAGAATTGTAGCAGGAAATTCTAGGTAATGTTAACAGGAACTTCTGTTGTTTCTAGGTAAAACTAATGGCAGAATTATCCTTAGAAACACCCACTTGGTCATGACGTAAAAAGTCTGAGCCAGAATTTGACTGATTTTGTATAAATAAAGTGGACAGCTTTTGTGCGTAGTCCATTATGATCATGAAATCCTAGTGGTCCGTCTCTTTCCTTCCTCTTTACGCCTCATCCACGCACCCTCCGCGAGTTCTGAACTCAGCTGGAGCTGGACTCCGGCAAGCTGCCATTATTCTTTAAAAAAAAAAAAAAAGACTTATTTATTTATTTTTATTGGAAAGTCAGATATATAGAAAGGAGGAGAGACAGAGAGGAAGATCTTCCGCTTGCTGATAGACTCCCCAAGCAGCCGCAATTGGCTGGAGCTGTGCCAATCTGAAGTTAATCTGAAGCCAGGAGCTTCTTCTGGGTCTCCTACATGGGCGCAGGGTCCCAAGTGTCTGGGCCGTACTCAACTGCTTTCCCAGGCCGCAAGCAGGGAGCTGGATGGGAAGCGGATCCAATGGAATTAGAACCGGTGCCCCTACGGGATTCTGGCACATGCAAGGCTACTGCGCTAGACCCAGCTGCCATTATTCTTATTAATACTAAACATGAGTAGACAAGAGTTTGGAAATAATTGAGATTTATATATATGAATATATATAGTCATTCATATATTCATATATTTATTCATATATATAGGAGTAAATTTTTTAAAGGAAGGCAAGTCTGATGCATGTATTTTTTGTTTCCCCCTTGATCTGTTCTGCATCTCTGCATCCCAGCCATGAGGCTGGCCTTTAACAGACTGCATCCAACTGTCCCCTTTGCTCTGGCTATCCTTGCATTCAGTCAAGAGGGTGGAATAACAGGGCAAGGATGTGAGAGAGGATGAGATAAGAGTCCTTATTTCCTTGACGTCCTCCTCTCCACATCATCACAGGTTCTCTCTGTGCTCCTCTATCAAGAGCCTCAGGGCTTGTCAGTTACTCCTACAGCCACAATTCTCTCCTCTGGCTCTAGGACCGGCTTTTCCTCTGTTCCTTCAGGCCTGAGGACAAAGCAGTGAACCCTGTTCCTTCCGTGAACTGCTTTTCTACCCGCACACTGCTGTAAAATGATGCCTGTATTCACATCTACTCAGTTCCCGGATCAAGTCAGCCATCTGATCCCTGCCAGGACCATAACTGATAGAATGAGGCTCATGGACAAAGATCGAGTTTCCAGGCTGGGATGTGGGAAGGTGGTGATCAGACCTCAAGAATGTGGAAACGCCAACAAGACCAAGTAAAGCCATCAGTGTTGGACAAGGTCAAGTTTGCAGTAATGGCAGAATAGCCCTGTAATATATACACACAATGGAGCCCGGGGGGGGGGGGGTGTCGGGGAGAGGTTGGAATCAGTGAATTGGGGATTGGTAGCATAAAAAGGGCAAATAAAATCTGAAGGGAGAATCAGGTGTTTGAACAAAATAGGATAAACAGAAAAAGAAAGACCACTACGAATTATAGTTCAGGTTTTGAAATTTAAGTTGCATTATATTTCAGGGATAAAGCTTGGATTTCTAGGTAGAAATGGGCCTCATTTAATCTTCACCATAAATTAAGGTGGCAGGCATCTACGGTTTTATAACGATCAGCAGAACAAAGATGCTGGCTCCAGAACCCACATTTCTCTGCTAGGGGTTACTGCTCAGGCCAGGGAGGTCAGTTTTAGTCCCATCTTAACTTCTCCCCAAAACAAACCAAATGGGCTTGGAACTCACAAACTACAGATTGGCACCATCAGGAGCCACCTTTACCATCTTCCAAATCCTAAGAAAGTACCCCACTTTAACATCAGAAAGAAACTTCCAGAATCGGGGTCTCTGATGGCTTTACCTCGAACCAGCTCCTTGTGATTCCCTCAGCCCTGCCAGTTTCCAAGACCCTCACTTTTTGGAGCTCCCCTTTACCATTATTTGCTCCCTAACCTTTTGACCTGGCTCCTGATCCACCACCTCATTGCAACCAATCCTTCTGACCCCTTGGTGGTCAAATGCAGTCCAAAGCACACCATGCTTTCCTTCCTTGGTTGACCCACTCCCCACTTCCTAAAGCCTCTTCTCTTGACTTCCACAGTTCTGCTTCTGCAGCCTACCTCTGACCTTCTGGATAGCCCCTCCCCAGCCTCCTCCTTAGATCTCTCTTCTTTATCCTTTGCCCAGGTCCTGCCCCTGTGGCTATTTCTGATGATTGTACCATTGGTCTGGGCAATCCCTTCCACTCCATAACCTCAACCCACAGCTAAGCCCAAATCTACCCTTTGGGACTACCTACTGAAGCCACTACCTACTGAACCCTTCCACTTGGAAGTCTTAGCTACCTCAGACTCAAGGTGAATCAAACCAAACTTGACATTTTTTCTCCTGCCTGTTTTCCATGCCCATTCTGAACTGGATCCTCCACTTCAATTGCCTGAAACTTAGCCAAGCCTTCTCCCTCCTTTATTGACCTCTTTCAATATGCTGTTACTTCCACAAGGGCTTAGAATTGTCCCCCCTTTTCTCCATGGCCAGCCTTAGTGCAGGGTCTCACAACTCAGCTTTCTGACCAATCTCTGTATTGACAGACTTCTCTTTGTGTTGCTTGCTATTGCCTGACCTTAAATCTTTCACTTTTTCCCCTGTCACTCAACCTCAAGTCTAAGCTTCCTAGCAGGACATACAGGCCTGGCATCATGTGTCCTTTGATCCTTAGCCGTCTCTGTTGCACATCACTGCATCTATCCTGGGCTCTATCTGATAAATTACAGAATTCACATAGCTTCTCCTACCAGCAGCACTTCCCTGCCCCTGCATCTGTTATTTTCTAGAACACTCTGCTGCCTCTAGTCTGCCAATCTCATCCCTATTTTTCTTCATCTGTTTAGTCAGATGTCACTTCCAGGAAGCCTTCCCAAGTGTCCCCTGACTGGCAAAGGCAAGCTCTTCTCAGCTGCCATCAGCATCATCTCTCTAACATTTCCCAAGCTCTGTTTGAATTTTCTCTTTTCCACCCTCGCACACTTCCATTATTCTTACAAGACTAAACCACTTAAAAAACAAAAACAAAAACTTGTTCATTGCCAAATCCTTAGAGTCTGGTGGCCAACATCTAGGACACACAAAGTGCTTGATTTGTGTTAGCTGAATGATGCATGAATGACTTAATTTACATAATGCATGATCAGCTGTGTCTCCTAGCATCTGGGTCCTCCTACTTCTTGTCCATACTGTTGGCAGGCTGAAACTTGCTTGTGCCTACATCAGGACTTCTGAACTTGTGCCTTGTTGTTGACCCAATCGCCCAAACTACATCTTCAATACAAGCACATTTGTGGTTTTCTTGGTCTCAGCCTTTTGCCTCCTTATTCTACTCCAGCTTCCCATGGCCATGGCTCTAATGACAAACAGACATTAATGACCAACAATACAAATACTGAACTGACTAAATGCAAAAGCAAGTAAGGACATGGAAGTAAAAGATTTTTGATCTGAAAAGTATTACTTCAAAGTTTACAAGTTTCAAAGTCACATATTGAGTTGCCAGAGACCAGTAATTTTTGCAATCTATATTCCCTGAGATTCATCAACTACAGAGAAGCTCACGCTGCCCAGTGATGATGAGCTGGCTGTGAGGAGGAACAGCCCTGAGTAGCTTCCCCTGAGAAGTGAAGAGGGCTGAATACATACAGAAGCAGAATTCCAAGTTCTTTAACCCCATAGACAGAGCTATTTTAATATTTGGCAAGATGTTCCCTGCCAGAACATTCCCATTCTCACCATGGTTCATAAAACTTGGTGCTATGATTTGTACTGATGATGCAAATGCCTTACTAAAGGATTTAAAACCTGACTAAGAGTCATTACCTCTGTTAGGTCTTGCAAATGGCAGTTAGAGTCCTGCTTTATTCTATTGGAAAATTCTTGCACCTGCAGCAAAAATGAGTAAGATTTTATTAATGGCGTGGGTGCTCATGTTTGACTTTGGTTACTTCTATGGTTTGTAACAAGCTCTAAAGGAGTTACTTTGGTCATCAGCTCATCTGTCTGTTCTTTCAAGCTCTGACACATCTGTTTTCCTTGGGATATCTTCTGAAATATGGAAGAAGAACTTGAGAGACGATCTTTCTGCCAGGTTGACGACAGCTTTAAGAGCTTTGTCTCAGATTCTGTTCCTGGATAGGGAAGGATACACTTTGGCTCCCATCCATCTCAAGTTATCACGGCTTTGTTCTTAAGCACTGAGTGGAGATCTGTGGCAGTCACCACCACTGCCATTTTAAAATCAATTTTCAAACCATTGTATATATATTTCTCAAACCAAAAAAAAGTTTTAAAGACACTGGTACCTGGGAGACGTTCCTGGCAGACAAGGACTGTAGGCTTCATCTGCATAGCAAAAGGACAAGATGACATTTAGTGCTGGTACTGACTGGGAATGCTGTCATTCACACCATGACCCCGTGTGTTGTGATTCTTGTGGAAGCAGTTCCATGCTGTCATCACAAGCCAGGGCCATGATGCCAAGGCTGAGCTCCACACTGACGTTTCTTTGCTGGGGGCCCTGGCAATTGCCTTATGGCCGTACAATTCACATTCTTTGCGATAAAAGCAGGAAAGTAACAGGGTCTTGTGGGCACTAAATGTTAGACATCCACTGCAGTATCAGACATATGGGAAGCACTCAACAACAATGCGAGGATGCTTCAAGAAGTTTGTGGAAAAACAATTTAAGTTTATTTTTGAGCAAAGAAAACATAGAAAGCCATACTTTTTTTTCATTATGCACATTTTCCATGAACTTTCTGAAGACCCCCTCATACATGTAAGGTGCTATTATTATCATACTGGATACCCCCATGTGGGATACTTGAACATGTTTTCTGGAAGCTTGAGGACAAGCATGCTGTTGGTCCTGCCACCAGCTCTGTTGATGTTGTTCTCATTAACAGTGAAGCCACAGGAGCCACACTAGGGCATGCTATACTCTCAAATGTGTGGCAAGCCGGAGACTGATTTCTACTCACCCCAGTAACTGGGCAACTGGACAAGAGTTGAAATTCAGACTGATTCAGCTTGGAGACTTTCCCGTTGTCCCTGATACATAAATCTCAAACACATTAGTGCCAGGCAGTCAAACGGTCGTAGCAGTCACAGTAGACCGTGGTCGTTAAGAATATCTCGAGGATATAATAGCCCTGAAACCTACAGGATCTGGTTCTTCAATCTGAGTTGCTGAGACTGGGGAAAAACACCTGCCTCAAACTCCCACTTCCAGAGAGAGAGAGAAACAAGCCTGATAGCCGTTCTGCTCCTACTAACCTTAGCCGCTGGAGGACTGGACCCAACACAGTTGTTCACCTGAAAGTAGAACAAGAAACACTGAGACCTCCCTATGCCACAGGGGTGTAGATTTCTCTGAGACCTAGAGAAGAACCCAGTCATGGTCATGTGGACTGCCGTCTCCCAATGCGTGTGGGATTCCTTTTTATTTTTTTTTAAGATTTATTGATTGATTTATTACAAAGTCAGATATACAGAGAAGAGGAAAAACAGAGAGAAAGATCTTCTGTCCGATGATTCACTCCCCAAGTGAGCGTAATGGCCGATGCTATGCCAGTCCGAAGCCAGGAGCCAGAAACTTCTTCCAGGTCTCCCACACAGGTGCATAGTCTCAAGGCTTTGGGCCGTCCTTGACTGTCTTCCCAGGCCACAAGCAGGGAGCTGGATAGGAAGCAGGGCCACCGGGATTAGAATTGGCGCCCATATGGGATCCCGGCACGTTCAAGGCGAGGACTTGAGCCTCTAGGCCATGCTGCCAAGCCTGTGTGTGGGATTCTATTCAAATTCCCAGAGAACTGGGGGCAGCGCTGTGGCCTAGCAGGTAAGGATGCTGTCTGTAATGCTGGCATCCCTTATGCATGATGAGACATGTCCCAGTTGCTCCACTTCCAACTCAGCTTCCTGCTAATGTGCCTGGGAAGAGAGGTAGAATATGACCCAAATGCTTGGACTCCTATACCCATATGGGAGAAAGAACAGGCAGATCAGCTGATGACCAAATTAACACCTTTGGAGCTTATTACAAACCAGTTCATAAAGCTCCTAGCTCCTGGCTCCTGGCTTTTGTCTGGCTCAGCCCTGGCCATTGTAGCCACTTGAGTGGTAAGCCAACAGATGGAAGATTTTCTTTGTCTCTTTCTCTCTTTAATTCTTTAAATATTTCATTTTATTTATTTGAAAGGCATCAATAGAGAAAGAGAAATGTTTCCTCTGCTGGTTTATCCCCTAAATGGCCACCACTGCCAGATCTAGGCCTATCCAAAGCCAGGAGCCAGGACCTTCTTCTAGGTCTCACATGGGTACAGGGGCCCAAACACTTGAGCCATACTCTGCTACTTTCCAGACACATTATCAGAAAGCTGGGTTAACACCTACAGTTGATGCCAATACCACAGGTGGCAGCTTTACCAACTATGTCACAGTACCACCCTCAGTAACAACTGAGCCTGGGCAAAGCCAAAGCCAGGAGCCTGGAACTCTGTGTCTGCCACATGGGTCAGGGGCCCAGGTGCTTGAACCATCATCTCTGCCTTCCCAGGTGCATTAGCAGGGAGTTAGATCAGAAGTGGAGTAGCCAACACTCATACGGAACGCTGACTGTGCAGGCAATGGATTAATTCATTGCACCACAGTGCTGGCCTCAATTCCCCTTACTATTAAACCTCAAATAATCAATGGGACCCTAAGCCTCAGCACGATAAAGGTAGAGGATGACCAGAATGAGGTAAGGAAGTAACAGAAGTAAAATAAATTAAATGCTAATGAAGTTTTATGATAAATGTTAACAATGTAACAAATTTGAGTCAATTTGATCTTAATTTAATTTACCATTGATAGAGGAATAATCTATGTAGCATACATAGGCCAGGTCCCTGGGGAAGGTAGAAAGACAAAGATAAGGTTGATGACTTCCTGAGTCTTCAAACTAAAGGAAGCCATGGACATCTCTAATGGATTTGTGGCAGAGTGGGTTAAGCTGCCACTTACAATGCCGGGATCCCATTTCAGTGTGCCAATTCAAGCCCCTGTTGCTCTGCTTCTGGTACAGCATTCCACTAATGTGCCTGGAAAATCGAGAGGTTGCCCCATGTCCTTGGGCCCCTGACATCCATGTGAAAGAGTGGAATAGAGCTTCTGGCTCCTGGCTTGGGCCTGAACCAGTCCCAGCCATTGCAGCCATTTAGGGAAAGATCAAGGGGAAAGAAATCTTTTCCCTTTCCCCACCTTTCTGTGTGTCATTCTTTCAAATACATAAATGAATCTTGAAAAAAAATTAGACAGCGGGCCTGGCGGCATGGCCTAGAGGCTCAAGTCCTGCCTTGAACGTGCCGGGATCCTATATGGGCGCCAGTTCTAATCCTGGTAGCTCCACTTCCCATCCAGCTCCCTGCTTGTGGCCTGGGAAGACAGTCAAGGACGGCCCAAAGCCTTGGGATTCTGTACCTGTGTGGGAGACCTGGAAGAAGTTTCTGGCTCCTGGCTTCGGACTGGCATAGCATCGGCCATTATGCTCACTTGGGGAGTGAATCATCGGACAGAAGATCTTTCTCTCTGTCCCTCCTCCTCTCTGTATATTTGACTTTCCAATGAAAATAAATAAATCTTTTTTAAAAAATTAGACAGCTATAGGTCACTATGATCCAAAACAAGCTGAGATAAACATGCTCACAAAAGTACTAAACCAAAGAAGACAGAGCAAGTGGGACTTAGGTGATCTGAAAAGTTGTGTGGCCTAAAAGGATGTGAAGGAGCTAGTGAGAATGAGCAGCTCTTTGGTGAGTAAAGCCAGGCTGCCCCTGGCGAGGTAAGAGGCCTAAAAAGAGGTGCAGGACCAGCCTGAGAACAAGTCGCAGAGGTGCAGAGTTCTGTTTAGAAGAATAAAGTGAAGTGGGGAAAAAGGAGGAAGGGAACCCAGCTTCCATATTCTTGAAGAAGATGGATTGTTTTTGGTCAGTTAATTCTCATTTGAGGACACCCATTGAGCTTCTTTTATCTATTTTTAAAGATGTATTTTATTTATTTGAAAGCAAAGTTACATAAAGAGGGGAGATCTTCCATTCACTGATGCATTCCTCAAAAGGTGACAATAGCCAGAGCTGGGACAGGCTGGAGCCAAGAGCTTGGAATCTCATCAGAATCTCCAACACGGGTAGCAGGAGCCCTAGCACCTGGGCCATCTTCTGCTACTTTCCCAAGCACATTAGCAGGAAGCAGGATTAGAAGTGGAGCAGCTGCAACTCCAACTGGTGCCCATAGGGGATGCTTGCATTGCAAATAATGACTTAACTGGCTACACCACAATGCTGGCCCCTCGTGGAGCTTTGGAGAGGTCAAGTTATTCATCCAGGGTGCCCCAGGGCCTGAACTGGAACCAACTCTCTCTCATGGAACCTCTAATAACCCACCTGCTAGGGATGAGCAGCACAGCCCTGTGTCTTTCACAGAGAGTATTCCACTTACCTGTGTTTGCTGTGAAACTTTTGTGATTTTTCTTTTCTGCTCTTGATGTTGCTTTTCAGAACAATGTGACCTAGACATGGTTTCTAAAATATCATGCATAATAGCTGGCTTATATCTCAATTTAGGAGAAAAGATGGGTTGTTTAGTTATTATCAATGATCTATTCATGGTGTTAGTTTTGGACATTTTCACTTTAGGTGCAGCCTTCCAGAAATCAGGGAACTGGCAAAGAACTTGACCTTGGCCATAGTGGAACCCACTGCCCAAAAGTGCTCTTTCAGTTTCCTGCTTTTGGGGTGCTCGCCCTTGGCAGCTTTGAAGTTTATCATTTGGACCCTCAATTTCACTGGGGAGCTTTGTGTTTTCCTGATGGTGGTTCTGTTCAGCAACCTCTGGCCTTTCTGGGTCATGGGCATTTTCCTCTGCTGTGATTCCCCTTTGGGACTTCCGGCTGCTTTCACCATCCCTTTTAAGGCTGAGTCGGTCTGTGATGGCTGGGCTTTGCTGTTTCGGGCAAGGACTCTGAATATAACCTGAAATTATATTTTCAATGATGGCTGCTTCTTCAGAGCTGTCTGAACTCCAGGTTTTTTGGGGAGCTTTATCTTCAATGCCTTGACCTCTTAGGGACCGCTCTCTGGAAAGATGATGGTGTAAAATATTAGACACATTCGTCTTTGAGGTGTCTCCTTCATTAGCTGCAACACACGGAATAATGAGGCATTGCTTCTCTTTGTCATCATTTTTGTCGACAGGATTTTCAGTGATTTTGTCTGGGGCCATGACCATAGCTCTGTTTCTGAAAGTCTCCTGTGGAGCCTTTTTCTCAGGGGCATCTCCGACTGAAAGAGTCTGATCAGCCACATTGGTATGGGCATCATTTGAAGGAACGTTACACTCATTGTGCATCTTGCTCCTGGGGAGATCTCCATCATAAGGCAAATCCTCCTGTTGCTTGTAAGTCATGTCTTCTGAAAAGTCAGCCTCGTCCATGCTCATGCAGACCGATCTCGCTTGCTCTCTGTTCCTTGGTTTTGGGGTTCTTAACTGTGATGGTGGAGCTTCTGGTTTTCATTGAGCATCTTCATTGTGTGGCCTAGTCTGCACAAAATAAGAACAGCTTCACTGTGTAACATGTGGGGATACGTGTGAAACTATGCTTATCCTGGTATCTATGCCAGGACAAAACGAATAGTTTTTATTTAGAGACATTCAATTATAGGCATGAAGGCAGCAGGCTTAACCAAGAGCTAACTCCTCCTAAATATGACAGGATGGTTAAAAACAAAAATAGAGAAGTGTTGAAAATTTTCAGAGACATTTAGTCTACAGTTCATAATTGAAGCTTTTAAAAAAAGGTTTATTTATGTAAGAAATTTATTTATATAAGAGAGAGTTCTTTCATTCACTAGTTCACAAGTGCCCACAACAGCCATGGCTAGGCAGGATAGAGCCAGGAATTGCAACCAGATCTCCTATAAGTGTAGCAGAGTCCCGAATACTTGAGCTATCACCCATTGCTTTTCCAGGTGCATTTAACAGCATATTTAAACAGAGTAGCCAGGACTCAAAGATGGAATGCCAGTGTCACAACTGACTACACTACAATGCTGAAGACCAAATCTTTTCAAACTTCCTTAGGAAATACTCCCTGCAGTTCTCCAAGGTAGGGGCTTGAGATATAAAAAAAAGAAATAATGATTCTAAGTATCATGGGGGGTAGGCATTGCCCAGCTGTAAAGACTCTTGCTGGGATGCTCTTGTTTTGGAGTGCCTGGATTCAATAGCTCTAGTTCCTCACTCCAGATGCACTGATGGCTCATCTCAGAGGTTCCTGTGACCCATGTGAGGTACTAAGCTCCTGAAATGAGCATTTGAGGAATGGACCAGTATGGGAGCACTCTCTCTCTCTCCCCTCCCCAAACCCCCTGGCCAAGTACATTAAAATAACACACCCTGGATGTCTCTTGTCCATTTATCACCAACTGGTTATAGGTCAGTGCTACAGAAAGCTATTTCAGGGCCCGGCGCGGTGGCGCAAGTGGTTAAGTCCTCGCCTTGCACGCCCGGGATCCCATATGGGCGCCGGTTCTAATCCCAGCAGCCCCGCTTCCCTTCCAGCTCCCTGCCTGTGGCCTGGGAAAGCAGTCGAGGACAGCCCAAAGCTTTGGGACCCTGCACCCGCGAGGCTCCTGGCTTCGGATTGGCATAGTATCGGCCCGTTGTGCTCACTTGGGGAGTGAATCATCGGATGGAAGATCTTCCTCTCTGTCTCTCCTCTCTGTATATCCGCCTTTCCAATGAAAAAATAATAAAAATAAATCTTTAAAAAAAAAGAAAGCTATTTCAGCTCAGACATGACCATTCTTACTCATTCCTGTGTTTCCCTTTAAAATTTCTTTTTAATTAATACATAATAATTGCACATAGTTTTAGGGCACAATGTGTTTTTATTGATACATGCACTATGATCAAGTAGGGCAAATTAGCATATCAATTACTATTTCTTTGTAGCAAAACATTCAGAGTTCTTCCTTGTACTAGCTATTTTGAAATATGTAATATGTTATTATTTACTACTATATATTAGTATATCTCCTAAAAGTAGAATACCCCTTATCCCATACCCTTCCTTCCTGGCCTCTAGTAACCACTACTTTAGTCTCAATTTCTATGGAATCAATATTACTACTTTTTTTTTTTAATTTTATTTTGAAAGAGAGAGAATGAGTGATGGTTGTTTGTGTGTGTGTGTGTGTGTGTGTGTGTGTGTGTGTGTGTTCAATCTGCTGATCACTCTACAAATGCCTACCACGCTGGGGTTGGGCCAGACCAGGGGAAGCGAGTACTTGAGCCATCCCCTGCTGCCTCCAAAGATGGCCATGAGCAGGAAGCTGCATTAGGAGCAAAACCAGGACTCAAACCCAGACACTCAGCTAGAGAACGCAGACATCCAAGTGCCGTCTAAAGCCCTGGGCCAAATGTCTGTCCTGGCTCAACATTTTAAGATTCACACAGGAATGAGATCCTATGACACTTGTCTTTAGATGCCTGGCTTTTTTCTCACTTAACCCAATATCTTACAGACCCCCCCCTTTTTTTTAATATATGTATTTTTTATTAAATACATTGCATCATGTGACACAGTTTCATAGGCTCTGGGGATCCCCAGCCCCTCCCTGTACCCTCCTCCCATGGTGGATTCCTCTACCTGTTGCTGAATTACATTTCAAATTCAGTCAAGATTCTTTCACTGCAAGAGTATACCAAGCATAGAGTCCAGCATCTTATTGTCCAGATAAATTCAACAGTTTCTTGGGGAAACCATCTCTGGACAGACCCTTTTTTTTTTCACCTGTCTTTCCAGACAGTCTGGTTCTCTGTCCCTTGTTTCGCGTTGTGTGGCCCAAAGCAGAAGAACTAATAGAAACATGCCCAAGGGACAGAGAGGCCTTCAGAGCCAATCAGGAGCCTGATGGCCTCTGGGCAGCTTGGGGTACTCCTGGGAAAGGACAGAACAAAAGCAGGTACCATTTGCCACAGGTTCATTTTTTTTCTTTCTTTTTTTTTTTTTCTAAGGTTTATTTATTTTTATTGGAAAGTCAGATTTACAGAGAGAAGGATAGAGAACAATCTTCCGTCTGCTGGATCACTCCCCAAGTAAATGGCCAGAGTCAGGAGATTCCACTGAATCTCCCACACAGGTGCAGGGTCCCAAGGCCTTAGACCATCCTCCACTGCCCTCACAGGCTAAAGCAGGAAGCTGGAAGGGAGTGGAACAGCCAGGACACAAATCGGCACCCATATGGGATTCCAGCGCGTGCAAACTAAGGACTATAGCCACTAGGCGACTGTTACTGACCCTCCATTTTCTTTTTAAAAAATAACATGCTAAATATCCATTGAGGAAACTTTTTTCTTGATCTGTGCACTTTTGAGACAACTCTTCAGAAACAGGGAACTGATCTCAAGTTTCACAGGGAGTGACTGAGTCTCCCCTTGCCAGTCTCTGAGGTTTCTATCCCAGGGTGACCACAGCCCCTGGCCAGCCTCCCTTTCCTACAATGATGGGGTTGAGTGAATGGGTCTCTGAAGTCCTCTAGCCATCCAGACTTTTATAAGTCTATGGACTTGTGATTTATTGGATAACCTCAAAAGCTAAAATAATATGTTTGACAAGGCAAAATTGAGCCAAATTCCCCAAGGAAAAGGAGCGGTTGTTAGATGTGGTGAAGACATCTGTGAAACATTGTACAAGAGGCTTGATGTTGAGATGTGTGCTGATGTCAGAAAATCCAATTTAAAAGATAACTCTGGAGGCAGTGGGGGAGGGAGTGGAGGAAGTGGGCAAGAGATCATTGCAGATTACTTTAAATCACTGACACAGGTTAACATTTACTAAAAAGTCAGGGAAGTTTTCACACAGAATCACAAACTGTTCTGATCCAAGTTGAAGAACAAGGGAAAGAATGCAAAATTATAATCCGAGTGAAAAAGTATGGGTAGAGGAGCCCAGATGTGAATTCTGGCTTCTCTATTCACTGGCTGTATGCCATCCAACGAGGTATTTATTTTTTCTGAATCTCAGCTTCGTCTTCTGAAAGACAGGCATGATTGTGCCAGGCTCACAGCTGGCTAGATGACAGCAAGAGCCAATACACAGAGAGCACTTGGCACAATTTTCATTCCAGAATAAGAATCCTAGAAATGGTAGAAAAACAAAATCGGCCCTCAGTGGGGAAAGTCTGAAGGAGCCCAGTTGCAAGAGACAGGGCCCTCTTTTCCTGTGGGGTGGTATTTAAAGGCTAAAAGAGGGAAATACGCATGCCAGATCACTTCTAAAAAAGAGCCTTAAAAGTATTTTTAAAAATCTATCCACAGGGCAGGTATCTGGTACACGGTCAGAATATGCTGGGGTTCAAGTCCTGACTCCCACACTTCCACTTCAGCTTCTTGTTAAAGCACACCCTTGGAGCTGGCAAGTGATTGCTCAAGTAACTGAGTCCTTGTCACTCACGTGGGAGGTCGGGGTACAATTTCTGGCTCTTGGCTTGAGCCACATCCATTGCAGGCATATGAAGATTGAACCAGAAGATGGAAGATTTCTTTTTTTCTCTCTTTGCCTTTCAATAAACAAATTTTTTAAAAGATTTATTTTTATTATTTTTTTTTTATTGGAAAGGCGGATATACAGAGAGGAGAGACAGAGAGGAAGATCTTCCATCCGATGATTCACTCCCCAAGTGAGCACAACGGCCGATGCTATGCCGATCCAAAGCCAGGAGCCTCTTCCAGGTCTCCCACGCGGGTGCCAAAGCCTTGGGCCGTCCTCAACTGCCTTCCTGGGCCACAGGCGGGCAGCTGGAAGGGAAGCGGGGCTGCCGGGATTAGAACCAGTGCCCATATGGGATCCCGGGCGTGCAAGGTGAGGACTTAACCACTTGCGCCACCGCGCCGGGCCCCTCAATAAACAAATTTTTAAAAACTTAAAATCTACAAATCTACTCATAAATAAGTATATTATTTAGAAATGAAACACATTACTAGATTTTAAGAAAAGCACTAATTTTTTGAAGACCTAAAAAAAACTCCTACAGAAGGTCTTCCTCTCTGTCTCTCCTCCTCTCTGTATATCTGACTTTCCAATAAAATCTTAAAAATAAAAAGCCTACAGAGAAAGAGGAAAAGCAGACAGATTCCAGTTTTGTCCCAAAGCCATCTTCTTCTTCCTCTGTGTTTGGAGAGGCTATGGCTGAGCTCTAAGTCCTTCTTATTAAGCGAGGAAAAGACCTTTTGTTGAACTAGTTTCTAAAACAGCATTCAATTCAATTGATGAGACTGTATTTTTGTTATGACACTTAAAACGAATAAGAGACAGACAGCTGAGGGACTCAGTCATTACAGTCAGGATAACAGCCTCTGTCGTGATTGTTATCATGTGTGTATACAAAATATCCGGACGACTTCTTCCAGGAAATGATCATCTACATCCT